CTTTTTAATTGTGTGTATTTATTTGTGTGTTTGTGGGACCCTTCATTGGAGAGGAAGCCCATGCCAGGAAGCACCCTGCTCGCCTCCAGGGTGCCCTGTGCGTCTTGGGTGTCGATGGCTCTGCCATGGCGAGCGTGGCGCTCCCACGCCAAGAGTCAGTGGACGTCCCGGGGTCGCAGGGCTGGGTTTTTTGTGGAAGGTTTCTTGTGGTTGAGCTCCTGCTGCAGGCCAGGACCGGAGCAAAAGTGCGGGGCGCTCCAGAAAGGGCCTCTCGAGAGACCGACGAGCTGACATCTCTTCGCGGGAGGAAGGCCCTCGAAGGCCGGCGGAAGCAGAACGGGTGCGGCTCCACCGGCGGAAGGCGGCGGAGTCAAGAGTTGGCCTCCCGAGATGTGTGCTTTGAAGGGGGGGAAGTAGAACGGGTGCGGCTCCACCTGCGGAAGGCGGCGGAATCAAGAGTTGGCCTCCCGAGACGTGTGCTTTGAAGGGGGGGAAGGGGGGGGGGGGGGCAGTGTGGCCCAAGTGGGCCGCGTCAGGGTTCCCGTCCGCCGAAGCGACCGTTGCTTCTGGGGCACACGAAGGCGCCTGGGGATGCCCCTCGAGCGCCTCTGGCAGCAGCGCACCAAGGGCCGGCGTTGGCAAAGGTCACCCTCATTGGAGACCGAAGACTGTCTTCGCAGCAGAGCGCGAAGTACATCGAGACGGCCTGCTGTTCGCCGCCTGCGGCCTCTGGAGGCAAGTTTCCGGGGCGTGGAACCATCAGGCGCAAAACTGAAAAACACAACAACGTCGATCACGACCACGACCACGACCACGGCCACGACCACGGCCGCGACCGCGAACGCAGCCACAACCACGGCCACGGCCACGACCGCGACGGTGACCGCGACGACGACGACGACGACGACGACCAGGACCACGACGACGGCGATGACGACGACAACAACGACCGCGACCACGACAGCGACCACGACCGCGATCACGGCCACGACCACGATGGCGACCGCGGAGGGGCGGCGGCGGCGGCGTCTTGGCACCCAGCCGCCCTCGCGCAGGCCAAGAGGCGGCGGGCCGCGGCGGCCGCGGGCGAGCTGCCGGCCTCCGCGGAGGAGGGTCCCCGCCGTCGGGGCCTTCGACGGGTTCGGGTGGCTTCGACGGTCTCGGGGGCGCAGTATCGTTGATCGAGCAGCGGCGGAGAGTCCTGATTTGCCTACGGGTTCACCAAGGAATATTCTAAGAACCGTGTGTGGTCTGCACGGAATGCTCTTAAAACATGCCTGGCCGAGATTGCTTTGATTTAGCACATCGGGTTTACGTTCTACGAACACTGGTTTTGTTCTTAGAACTTCTTTGGGTTCTGAGAACACGCCGTGGTAGGCCTAAAGGAATACGGGGACGGTCGATCCTTGATCAAGCATCGTTGGATTTATCTTTGACCCACCAGGCCATTACATCTCAGCCCCATCATTTCAGCACCTCGGTTGGGGGGTAGACCCCTCGAGGCCCGAAGAGAACAGCCTACGGTAGGTTTGCGTCGTGTCGACCAGCGGCGACCCCAGCGCGGGCGTTCAAGGTTGAACGCCGCCGGCGACCCAGAATCGATCGATGTTGAACGATTGGACGTTGCGGCAGCGGCCGATCGTTCAAGGTTGAACGATCCCTGCGGTGTCAAAAACCAACGCTGGGGTCGGCACGACACGAACCTGCCGTATCTATATCCCCATCTGGGGGTTGGGGGGGTAATCGGCCAGTGGGGCCCAGGCCACGACGGGGGGAGATGGGGATCGGCGAAACGATGCTCAGGGGTCATCGACTCCGAATTCGGTGCGATCGAAACGGGTACGGAAAATCTATTTGCCCGCCTTCTGGTGGAGTGGGCGCGCCTGCAGTGGGCCATGAATCTGGACGCTGCCGGCGCGACAGGCGAGTGAGAGCCCCGAGAGAAGCGCCCCATGGGTACGAAGATCGACGGCAAAGCATGTCCATTCTGAACCGGAATCGCTGTCGGTGTCGCGGGCCGCGGACGGCGTTCCTTTGAGACAGTTGGCAGCCCGCCCACCAGCACCCGCTGCCGGAGTTGGAGAACACCTGCTGTGTGGCCCACCCGCTTGCGGGAACGTGCGATTCGCTGTCCTGGGCGATTCCAGGTCGATGGTTCACCCCCTGAGCGGGTCCTTCCTGTTTGTTGCCCCTGGTCCATGTGCCGTTCTCGCCAGCCGTCGTCTCTCTGCGGTCGTCATCGTCGTCGTCGGCGGCGGCGTCGTCGTCATCTTTGTCGTCATCGTCGTGTGCGTCGTCGTCGTCGTCGCCTTCGTCGTCGTCGTCGTCGTGGGCGCCCACGGCGACGTCCAGCCTCGGTGTTTGTCCAGCTTCTGAGTGCTTACCAGCAGCCGCGCCTCGCCTTGAACGTTACGTGGGTGCCCAGATCGTCCCGAACTGGGCCGCTTGAGACCCGAGCTAGGACCTGACAATCACCTCCCTAACTCCATAAAGTCAACCCGCATAGAAAGGATGGGCACCTTCCCAAGGGTACCCTTGCATCCTTGCCTCCTCGGTCCATCCTTGGCCACTTTCGTTGGCCGCGCCCCGCTCGAAAAGCTTCGAAACGGCCCTCCAAGACCCTTGCATGGTTATCGCGCGTCCTTGTGATACGGGTTGGCTGTATGGCCCTAAAACCACCTCCCAGTCCTCCATATTCCTCGTTGTCGTTGCTGCCCCAACGCGCGGTGAGGGGGGAAGGACAGCGAGAAAGGAGGAGGATGAGGAGGAGGACGAGGACAAGGAGGAGGGGGGGGAAGCGGAGGAACCAGGGTTCGCAGGGAGGAGGAGGACGGGTGAGGAGAAAGGGAACGAGAAGGAAGAGGAGAAGAACAATGACGAGGCAGGAGGAGGAGGAGGAACAATTGAGGATGCATCAACAATGCTACAACACACCCTCCCGTTCCAGTCCCCTCCTCACCAGCCCCTGACAGGCGTGATTCGTTACTGTACCGCCTCCCTCCTCCCTCCTCCCTCCTCCCTCCTCCTCCCTCCTCCTCCCTCCTCCTCCTCCTCCTCCTCCTCCTCCTCCTCCTCCTCCTCCTCCTCCTCCTCCCTCCTCCTCCTCCTCCTCCTCCTCCCTCCTCCTCCTCCTCCTCCTCCTCCTCCTCCTCCTGACACCCTCGCTGTAAAAGGAGGCAACCGCCCTGCGTCCGTGTAGCCGATGCGCAGTGTTTGTCGGCTTCGCCCGCGCTGCGAAAGCGGGAGCAGGAGCGGGGGGTCGAAACGGCTGTTCTGCAGGATCGGTTCGTTTTGCGTCGGGACCCCTTGTGCGGCGCCATTTTCCGCTGGGCTCGCATCTGATTCGGGAGCGGGCAGCATGGCGGAGCTCATTCGGAACATAAGTCCGGATGCTTCGCATACAAGTATGGAGCGCATCGATACGTCATTTACCTTACCGCTCTTGGCCAAGCAATTGAAACACGAGACACGCTGTCAGTGTATCTTCGCGTCGGGGATTGGGGCTTGGATTATCCTCCTCCCCCTCCTCCCTTTCCGCATTTGTCCTCCTCTTCCTTCCAAGTCTTCCGACGTCGCGCTTGTGTTCACGAAGCGGCTCCCCAAAGCCCGGCCCCGTTCCCGGGGGACGGGCTTCTCGTGCCGAGCCGTTATGTTGACGGTCCGTGGGGACGGTGAGGCCCCGAGAAGGCCGAAAGATACCAAAACTCACCCCACGCGAGGATGTCAGAGGCCTCCTCCTCTTCCTCCTCCTCCTCATCCTTCTCCTCCTCCTCCACCACTTTCTCCTCCTCGTCCTTCTCCTTCTCCTCCTCCTCCTCATCATCATCATCCTCCTCCTCCTTCTCTCCTCCTCCTCCTCTTCCTTTTCCACCCCCATCTCCTCCTCCCCCTCATTCTCCGCCTCCTCCTCCGCCCCCGCCTCCTCGGCCTCATCCTCATCGTCCTCCACTTTCTCGTCGTCGTCCTTCTCCTCGTCTCCTTCCTCCTCCTCCTCCTCCTCCTCCTCCTCTTTGTCCTCCTCCTCCTCGTACTCCTCATCATGAGAAAATAAATCCCTGTCGCTCCACCAGACGTGTCAGTATGGCGGGGCGGGCGTTGCGCCTGAGACTTCATCACCGTTCATGGTCCTGACGCACGATGAATCATGCCACAGTTTCAATGATGAGGGGGGTATCGAAATGTTGCCTTCGCCTTAGCAACGCGCACATTTGTTTCACACGTGTCTAACAGCTTTACGGATGGAAGACGGTTCCTTTTCAATGTGTGGTTCTCGCTTATGCGCCGCGCACATTCGCTCTTAGAGTGTGCAACCGCTTCGCGGATGGAAGGCGCTTATGCTGTACAAAATGTGGTTTTTGCCCTAGCGCCGCGCACATTCTTTTTAAACGTCTGCAACAGGCTCAAGGATACGTAGGGTTGGAATCCCAGGAATGGTGTTCTCGCGCAACGGTGGACTGTCAGGGCGCAACAGTCACGTTGACTAGCGGCGCTGAAGTCCCAGGAATTGCATTCTGGCACGACTGAAGATTCTCAAACGGATGCCTTCCGACCGGGCACTGTCCGCAATAGGAAAAGTTCCGTGCCGCGAGCTTTACAGGCGGTTTTTGCAGCATCGTTGACGCGTCTTGGGTTTGCACTGGTTCTCCTCTACCTCGTCTCCCTCCCTCCCCTCCTTCATTCTCCCCCTCCATCTCGTCGTCCTCCTCCTCCTCCTCCTCCTCCTCCTCCTCCTCCTCCTCCTCCTCCCCCTCCTCCTCCTCCTCCTGTTCCTCCTCCTCCTCCTCCTCCTCCACCTCCCCCTCCCCCTCCCCCTCCCCCTATCCCCTCACCCCCCCCCTCCTGGCACGCCACAGCCCAAGGCGCTCACCGCGCGCCCCTCTCAGGAGAAGGTGCCCCAGGCCTCCGCTGGCGCCGCGGAGCCGCCGGCCTCCACGCCTGACGGGGGGGCGCCGCCGGAGGCCTCGGGCGACGCCCAGGAGGCCACGCTGGAGCCGGTCAAGGCGCCCCTCGTCCTCCTCCCCTCCTCCCCCTACTCCTCCTCCTCCTCCTTCTCCTCCTCGTCCTCCTGCTCCTGCTCCTTCACCTCCTCCTGGTGATACTCCCCCTCGTCCTCCTTGTCGGCCGTCTCCTCGTCGTCCTCCTCCTGCTCCTCCTCCTCCTCCTCCTCCTCCTCCACCTCCACCTCCTCCTCGTCCTCCTCCTCCTCTTCCTCGTCCTTCATTCCGCAGCGCCACACGGCGACCCCAAGTCGCAACGCCCAGCCGCGCCGTTCCAGGCCCGAGCTGGCGCTGCTACTGTCACGGACAACGCGCGCCGACGTTGGTCGATTTCCAGGGGGGGAGCTGGGAGGGAGGGAAGCCATACAGCCGAACATTTGAATAAGGAACCTTCTCTCGAAAAGCTGGGCCAGCGGTTCTAAGCCAACTTGCTAAACAGCTGGCACAGTTTCTTGAGCATGTTCGTCCCTCCCACGTGAACACAAGATTGCCCAGGTTTGTTTCAGGACTCTCCCAGGAAGCTGGCCCAGGTTTCTTATACTAGAGTGTTATTGAGCATCTGTTCGGCTGTACTCTCATCTCTCAGGAGGGGGAGGTGAGGGAGAGGCCTCGCCGTCGTGCATCTGTGCGCAAGCCGTGGCTTGGGTGCTGTCATCGATCCCAGCGCTGCGAAGGCGAGGGTCGGCCAAAATGGCAGGACCCGGCTTTACCGCCCGCCAGTTCTCGCAGCCTTCAGCGGGGCTCCCGCAACAGGGAGACGGATGTGTCACAGCGCACAGAATTCCCAGACTGTACTTGCGACGAGGCCCCGGGGCGAAGCAAAAGCACTACTGGGGTCCCCGCTGGAACAGTACGCTGGATGGTGTTCTACTGACTGGGATGCAATTCGCTGAATGGCTCCGCACATCTGCTCGCTGATCTGTAGGCAGGTGTCTGTGCCCATCTCTTCAAGCTGTGCGAAGGAGAGGCTGGGGCCTTCTCCGAAGCCCGTAGCCTGATCGTCGAGGCTTTCGAAGACATGGATGTTCGTTCTGGAGCCAGCGCAGCCTGCTGGAGGGCAAAGTTCATAAACCTGCATGTCAACCCCTCCCTCGCGGTGTCGGGTCCGAGCAGATCCAGGTTCTCGGGCTTGATGGAAATGTCCTGCTGGCGGTCTTCTTTGACAGCCCATCTGCCTTTGTCGACTCGAAGCTACTGGCGTGGCCCTCGAGGCCGTTGAACACGCTGATTCGAAAGTCCGACAATCCCGACTAGACTCCCTACGCGCGGTACCGGTCCTGAACACCCTGGTACCCCAGCCGGGGCGGGGGAAGAGGACATTCGTCTCAGCTTTCCTGTGCCTTCCTCAGGTTCTCCTGGCATGCGCCGCTCCCCCTCGTCTTCCTTTTCCATCCGGCCTGCCCCCTCGTGATGGCCGCGCAGCACGGATGACTGATAAACTGACCCGTAGCGATCGGAAAGCAAGTCAGACAGGTCCCGGATTATGGTCAGAGGTTGATAGACCTCCTACCCTGACACGTCGATGAGCGAATTTTCAGTTTTCGGTTCGCGAGAGGGCGTCGCGGCCGTCATTTCTGCGGGTCCACCCCCGTCGTTTGCAGCCGTAGGCTGTTTTCACTAAAGGGAGGTTTACTAAAGGGAGGGTTGTCCACCGCCAATATGGCGAGGACACAATTTCTGAGATCGCCAGGACCGCATTCGTTGGTCGTCGCTCGCGAGGCTCGCGCCACCACCCTGACAGCTGGTGGCGTCGGGCTCTCGTGGCTGACGCGGCGTCCCTCGTGGCTGACGCCGTCGTGCCCGTGCTGCGCGACGCCACCCTCGTAGCTGATGGCAGCGGGCTCGTGCGTCGCAACACCTCTCTCGCAGCTGCTGGCGTCGGGCTCCCACGTCGCGGGAGACCGCCCGCAGTGCTGGCGACGTTGGACTCGTGTTTCGCGCCACCTCCCTCGCAGCCAGCGGCGTCGGGCTCATGCTTCGCGACCCCCACTCTCGCAGCTGATGGCGTCGGGTTCGTTCTTCGCGACCCCACCCTCGTGACTGATGGCGTCGGGTTCGTGCTTCGCTGTGCCACTTTCGCAGCTGATGGTGTCGGGCTCGTGTTTCTCTGCGCCACCCTCGTAGCTGATGGTGCCGGGCTCGCGTTGCGCGTCACCACCCTCGTAGCTGATGACGTTGGACTCGTGCTTCGCTGCACCTCTCCCGTAGCCGATAGTATCGGGCTCGTGCCCCTATGCGCCACCCTCATAGCTGGTGACGGCGGGCTCGTGCTTCGCTGTTCCACCCTTGTAGCTGATGGCGTCGGGCTCGTGCTGCGCGTCACCACCCTCGTAGCTGTTGGCGTTGTGTTCGTAGTGGCTCGTGTTGCCGCCCTCGTAGCTGCTGACGCCTGGCTCGTGATCGGTAGCTGCCACTGGTTGTCTGCTACTGTTGCCACTGCCTGCCTGCCTGAGCTGCCACTGCCGTCCCTTCTCGCACAGTGCCTGAGCTGCCACTGCCCTCCTTTCCCCCGCTGCCATTGACTCGCTTCTCTCACAGCCACTGCGTTTTTCTCTGACAGTGTCCCCCCCTGTACAGCTCGGGGCAGTCAGGAGTTGCTGCGCTGCTGCTGCATACTTGCCAGCTGTTTGAAGTAAGGTGTACCCCCCTGCAGAGGACGGAGTTGTCAGGGAGTGCTGCGCAGTGCTGCGGAATTCGGCGGCTGGGGGAGGAAGGAAGGGACGAGGGGCGCGAGGGCGTGGCGCCACAGGCACTGCTCCGAATGCGCACGCGCGGCCGACTTGATTCTCACAGCCATGTCGTAGTCGTGTCGCCACGCCCAGGTGGCCGGGCAGCCGCCCCATGCTGCGTGCTGCAGGGTGCCGCCTGGCCCGCCGCAGTACGGGCAGCACCCAGAAGACTGCAGCCCGGCAGCGTGCCGTCGGGCAGCATCCCAGATGCCGTTCTCGGCGAACGCCCGCACGCATTGGAAGGGACCTCTCGAGCTTTCGCCAGGCCTGCGCAGTGTCCTTCGGAGCAAGAGCGCAGCCGAGCACAGGAGGGCGTGCAGGCAGCCACGGAGCCCGGACCTGCAGAGGCAAAAGGTGCGCACGACGCTGCCGTGGCGCTGGCACGGGGCCACCGTGGCGCAGGCTCCAGTCCGCGCCCGGAGAGCGCGCGGCCAACGGCCGCAGAGGCTCCAGCCACCTCTCCAGCGAGCGTCGCGTCAGGACGACGACCGTCTGGGGGCACATCTCGGTCCTCTTGACGGTGATGCCGCTCCTCGGTGCGGAAGACGAGCGCGCTGCTCACGACCTGATGCGCCTGGCCGACGCCATGGCCGCCCCCACGGGACCCTGGACCAGCAACCAGATCCTGTCGTGTTCACAGCTGGTGAGAGCCGCATCCGCCTCGTGGACGAGCCTCGTGAGCCGTCCGCGCTGTGCCCAAGTGTCCCATGCGGCGCGTGCGAGGGTGACGACTGGCCCGACTGTGGACGCGCAAGCGGGGTCCGCAGCGTGGGGAGATGCCTGCGTGGCAGTAGTGGTGGTGCTGGTGGTAGTAGTCAGCGTCGCCCTAGTAGTAGTGGTAGTAGTAGTAGTAGTAGTAGTAGTAGTAGTAGGAGGAGTAGTAGTAGGAGTAGTAGTAGGAGTAGGAGTAGTAGGAGTAGTAGTAGTAGTGGTGTAGTGGTAGTAGTAGTAGTAGTAGTAGTAGTAGTAGTAGTAGTAGTAGTAGTAGTAGTAGTAGTAGTAGTAGTAGTAGTAGTAGTAGCAGTAGCAGTAGCAGTAGCGGTAGCAGTAGCAGTAGCAGTAGCAGTAGCAGTAGCAGTAGCAGTAGTAGTAGTAGTAGCAGTAGTAGGAGGAGGAGTAGGAGTAGTAGTAGTAGCAGCAGTAGTAGTAGTAGTAGCAGCAACAGCAGCAGTAGTAGTAGTAGTAGTAGCAGCAGCAGCAGCAGTAGTAGTAGTAGTAGTCGTAGTAGTAGTAGTAGTAGTAGTAGTAGTAGTAGTAGTAGTAGTAGTAGTAGTAGTAGAGTAGTAATAGTAGTAGTCGTAGTCGTAGTCGTATCAGTAACAGTAACAGTAGTAGTAGTAGAAGAAGAAGAAGAATAAGTAGTAGTAGTAGTAGTAGTAGTAGCAGTAGCAGTAGCAGTAGCAGTAGCAGCAGCAGCAACAGTAGTAGTAGCAGCAGTAGTAGTAGTAGTTGTGGTGGTGGTGGTGGTAGTAGTACTACTAGCTGTAGTATTAGTACTAACAGTAGTATTAGTACTAACAGTAGTAGTAGTAGTAGTAGTAGTAGTAGTAGTAGTAGTAGTAGTAGTAGTAGTAGTAGTCGTAGTAGTGGTAGTAGTAGTAGTAGTAGTAGTAGTAGTCGTAGTAGTAGTAGTAGTAGTAGTAGTAGTAGTAGTAGTAGTAGTAGTAGTAGTAGTAGTAGTAGTAGTCGTAGTAGTTAGTAGTAGTAGTCGTAGTAGTAGTAGTAGTAGTAGTCGTAGTAGTAGTAGTAGTAGTAGTAGTAGTAGTAGTAGTAGTAGTAGTCGTAGTAGTAGTAGTAGTAGTAGTAGTAGTAGTAGTAGTAGTAGTAGTTAGTAGTTAGTAGTATAGTAGTAGTTAGTAGTAGTAGTAGTAGTAGTAGTAAGTAGTAGTAGTAGTAGTAGTAGTAGTAGTAGTAGTAGTAGTAGTAGTAGTAGTAGTAGTAGTAGTAGTAGTAGTAGTAGTAGTAGTAGTAGTAGAGTAGGAGTAGTAGAGAGTAGGAGTAGTAGGAGTAGGAGTAGGAGTAGGAGTAGGAGTAGGAGTAGGAGTCAAGCTAGCCAGCTCGAGCGAGTCAAGCATGGCATGCCCAGTCCCACCCGCCCTCCCACAACATAAGAAGCAAAGCTGGCACAACTGGGGGCCGAAGTCACACCGGCCAGCCGGTTTGGTACAGCTGATGCGGCCGCGATGGCGGTTGCCGACGGGAACTGGCGAGCGCGTGTTGAATGCCGCGCACGCATTGCCAGACGAGTCGAGAATGGCCCGGTACACCGCAGGA